GGTTTACACATAAAATTGTTTTGTCTGCAATACAAATGAGCGCACTGGCATACCTGCATGGGATCAGAATACAGAAGAGTATAAAACTTACAAGTTACACATTGAGAATTATCTTTTAAGTTAATATATAAAAGACAAAATCATTCAGTAATTGATGACATTTGGGTTTAATTAAAGTTTACTGTGAAAATCTTTGTACCTGAAAACTAATTTATTTGAAATATATGAAATTAAAGAGGGGATTTTTTGTTGGGTGCTTTTTCCTGCAAAGCCAAAGCTTTCTCCACAACTCTAAGGACAGTACTCTTTTCCCTCCCAATTAGTGTGTTCACAGCTGCAAAAACTCAGACAACAGTTTCTGCTGCCACTGTTCTGGCATATCTCTATTCACATCAGAGTTTCACCTCTATAGTCCCATTCCCGTCAAATATTCACCACAGTTATTTACCGTGTTTCCATTTTCCTTTCTATGCTCACTCTTTTACCACATGCTGGAATATCCCCCTGACTCCACCAGCCCACAGCTGGTGGCTCCTTCACTTCCCCCTCATTTCTACTCCTAGCTCTATCTGCTGCTTACTCTTTTCCCCAACCTTTTTCCACTCTTTTCTCCCAAATGGTCTACTACATTCCTCCCTCCTCACAGCAAGCAGGATCTCAACAGAGAACAGTTGACTTTACACAAAGACTGCTAATTTCATGTTACTGCTTTATATTTGAATCAGCAGGGAAGATAAAAAGCAGAGGTCAAAGGCAAGATATTACAGGAATCTCTGCAGTCAAGCATATGAGCTATCTGCCCAATCATACCTCTGGTGAACCGATTATCAATTCTACCTGCTGCATAAATATGTCCATTTCTTTTATTGAAATAAATACAATTTTTATACGTAAACTTTCCAGAACTTAACACTGGGTTTTATATGTCTTCAAAAAATGAACAGATTATTCAGCATCAAAAATGACATGACAAACACATGCTAAAATCTTAGAGAAACTGAGAAGAGGGAAATTGCACATCGTATTTACACATACAGTAGACACACCGAAAGGCATCCTTCCCCTACTCTGTTATTCAAATTAAAAAGTAGAAACAAAGCCTTAAGTTTCTGAAGAAAAGTGGCATAAAACAAGAGACAGATGAACTATTAACAGCCACTCATGTCCCATCCCAATGAGAACAGTGCCTCTATGCTTGACCAACATATTAAACTTTTCAGTATTCACAAATTCTCCAGTAGCCACTAGATAAAACAAAAAGTACTTGCTTGAGACAAGTCTGAGTTAGATCCTGAACTATACCAGAAAACCCATGGATAAAAATGTTAATTAGACCCTTCCCCATTCAGAAGTATCAACTGAGATTTTGAATTCAGATCAGTTCTCAAAGAAGAGCTATCCTGGACTTTCAACTGCTCCCATTAATAACAGATATTACACAGAAAATAAGATGTAAATTACATTCCCATGACCACCATGTATCGTTAGTCACACTGTTAGCATTTACCAATGAACAGACTGTAGAATTTCTATTTCAGTGTGTGCAAGTTGTACCAGCCCAAACTGTAATAAAATGTTAAGGCAACAGGCATTTTCAGAGCATAGCATTGTTGCAAATATAATATCACAATTTGATTTATTCAGCATTCATAATCAAGCTACTGCTATTACAGGCACTATATCATGCAGTCTTGGTTGCTTAAAATATTATTTACTCAAGGTCTGCGTGTCTGCTTTCTTTGTAAATATTATTTTTGGAAATTTAATTAAATTAATTTCCTTCGTGATGTTGTCAGGCAGATTTAACTGAGAGGGACAGCTGAACCATGGATTCAAGGCCAGGCACTACCTGGTCCTAGAAAACAAGTCAATAAAGACTGTAGTCTGAGGATTTGTTCCCTGTAAGTAGAATGGAGTTAACAAGGAATGGGATAACTCTTGGATATCCTAAAGCACCAGAGTAGAAACTGAATGTCTGCTCATACAGCCAGTAGACAAGGAGCAGCAAAATCCTTGCACTTCACACTGTCCAACTCAGCCTGGATGAGTCACCTCCTAGATGGTCACTACGGCACTTCATGCCCTGGATTCTCTGCCGGGACTGTCATGAATGACATTATATGGTGGCATCTGTTCAAACAACCTTCTAGGAACTAGACAGAGACCACTGGTTTTGTGCAGGTCAGTAAGCAACCATCAAAATATTAGTGACTGAAAGTCCTCACCAACTTTTGTCTGCTTTGAACTGGTGACACAGAAGTGATGGGAAAGACTTCATCTTCCATTAGAAGTCCCTAAGCTACCCATTAGATGGTCCTTGAACTGTTACCCAGTCACCCCATCCCATTCCCACCCTATGTGAGTGAACCAGCATTTTTGTTTACAGAAATGTTGCAATTCTTGGGAATTTAAATCTAAATTCTCAGAGTATATATTATCAGTACAATTCACACTGACTTCAGCTGGTATTGCTTAGCTAAAATGCTTTGTAACTCAAAAGAGACTTGTTACAGGAAAAAAAAAACACAACACTGTCTCTAAAACAGAAAGCAAACATAAAAGCTGGAAATTTCCAAAGAATCTGGGGCGTGGGGCGGGACAGGACTGTGTTCAGAAATACGAATATGGAGCATGCTATTCAGGAAGACTACGGTGATCTCTAAATAGTTATGTACAGGCTCACTATTCAAATAAAAAACTAAGTAACTTCAAAACTAGGAAAAAACTCTTTTACTGTTATGGAGAAGACTTCACGTGAGTCACTTTCACACAAGATCAAGGTGGTTTAATATTGTTTTACATAGCATCCAACATTTTCAAGCAAATATATACACAATTATTTTAGAAAAAAATGCATGAAATTGCTTTTACTTTTCAGATGTTTTATTCTTTTTCTCCAATATACTACTTCCTCATCACCTGTTAAGCCTACCTGAACTTATTAGAGATAATTCCTCTGAACAAGGAAGAGTTCTGCATGTGTCAAAGCGGTTCAGAACATTACAGATAGGCCAGTTTCTACAAACTGCCCTACCAAGCATCATTCACACTAAGCAAGTGAAGAGATACTTTTACATCCATGAATGTTTCATTTTTAATAAACCCTGGGAAGAAACTACACAAAAATCCTGTTGGCTTCAAATGGAAACCACTGGCCACCACAACTAAAAATGTGTTATGGAAATTCATCTACTTTTGAAACCTGTGGTAAATTAAAATTTGTCCTTTGTAATACTTAGGAAAAAAATACATTACTCCTGTAGTTCATTTATTACTTCTTTCAATGTTTTTACTAGATTAAGAGCCTTTTCACAGATAGAAATACTATGGAGATATCAGGTATGAACACTTAAATGCATAAATACATACTAATAAAAGGCTGTAAAGAAAATCAAGAATGAAAATTAGTAATTTTCAGATGGAAGGTGTTATATCCTTTGTAGGTATTTATGTATCTGTGGAGCTGTTGTTAGGTACATACACATCTGTGTAGAACACCTAAGAACAAACAATGAGGTTCTATCCCATGTTGTAGCACACAGTAAAAGATGATGCTCCATACACAATTCCAATATTCTTATTAAATAATCCTTCAAGTACCATTTGCTATTAATACAACTGAGTCTGAATCCAGAGTCTTCATTAAAAAAACAAACAAACAAACAAGCAAAAAACCAAACCCCACCTCACATCAGTCTAGCAACAGCAGTATAAATTTCCCTCTCGTATAAATTTACTCTGCTGTTATACAGCAGGGGTTTACATCAGCACACTGTACTGTAATAGTCTAATGGCTCAAGTTGCACCAGCATAAACCCTCTTCAGAGTTAGCAGGTCATTTACAATGGTTAATCCTACCACCTATCTAGCTCCACTGTAGCAGAGGGATGCTCATTTTCCCCTAGGTAGATATATCTTTCCAGACTGACATGGTATCTGTAGTATTCAGCAGACAGCATTAAAGCCAAACCAAGTTTTACAGAAACACTCAGATGATTGTCTACTATATGAGGTCTCTGCTGCTTTTTCTCCCAGCCATTCAGGGGAGGAATTAAAATAAAGTGTTACAATTCTTTCTCCCATCTGAAACCATGGAACAACCTGTCCAGCAACCAAAACAAGGAACAAAGACAGCAAATCCTCCAGGAGCCTTCCACCTATCCTGGTCCTTCAAGGATACTGACTAGTAATGAAAAAAACCAGCTCCCCCAAATACCCACACCGTTAAGAGGTAAAATGAAGACGGTTTTGCCACATTACAGCTCCCTTCTCTAATCACCTTTATGAAAAGATTTTTAAAAAAATTTTAAAAATCCCATTTTCCCCTCTCCTATCCTGAGTTGTCCATCCTATTTTCCATAAGATACAGAGGAAGATCAAAAGATTTCTCCCACACAAACCAAAACATCCCTCTCTAAAACGTAAAAGGAGTTAAAGCGGTCATGGCCAATTCACCCCTGCTGCTTGGAAAGGCTGGGAGAACGGCTCCTTCTAGGCTGTCAGTCAGCAAGAGCCGAAACACATTTTGATCATCAGCCTACATCTGTATTTGCCCAAACCTAAACAATTACCTTGGATCTAAGAAAAATACATAGAGAGAATCAAATACTGCATTGTGATATTATTTGACCACAATCAATGTACTAAACCACTATAAAATGGCAACTACTTGAAATTTCTTACAGTGCAGTGGCCTTTTTTTGCCCCTTACAACATAATAAATGAATTATATGCTACCATTCAGTGAAAATGCTTTATGAGTTTAAGGAAATTATTTAAATATTTATCTCATAATATTCAAGCAAAAACAACAGAGAAAAAAATGAAGTCTCCTTAGATTTGATGTATCTTCTCAGCTTAATTAACACAAGCTTTTCCTGGTTTAATTTGCACTTAAGAAGCGGGAATTTTACTCAATTTGCTAATTACTACATTTTCAAGCTGTTTTCTTGAAATAGATGGCAGCCTATCACACTAGGAACCCAAATTTCTGTATTTACCTCGAATTACGTAATTGTCCAAAGCCTCTTCCATTCTTTTCAGTGCTTCAGCTCTATTAGAGCCATAGGTAATCAGCTAAAAAACAGGGAAAAAAAGGTATTTTAGTTACCTAGAAATTAGATAATGTTTGTCTTTAGAATCTGAATGGCATTTAAAATGAAAATGGTTTGTAGAACTTCTGCAGTCACAAAGACATCTCACATTGCTGTATCTGTGCTTCAGAGGCTCTCTAAAACATCAAGCGAAAAATAAGATCTCTTAACCCATTCAATGAAAGAAGGTCAATCACTTTTGCTTCATAAAACTTAAGGCATCTAAACCAGCTCTCTTCTTGTTCAGGTGCACAGAAAATATGAGCAGACGTTCAACATCTATTTGACTCTCCTGACTTTTAATGACCAACCAACTTCTAAGATTTAAGTGTCAATTTTTTTGACAACTGAACTCTGACTATAATGTCATATTTTAATTTTACCAGCATGTTACTGATGAATAAGAACTAATACTAAGAGACATTAGCAACCATTTCTTTCACTGATTTTTTTTGGAAGTCAGAATTATTGAAATTTTAGTTCTGGCTACATTATGTTTAAAAAGATAGAATGGCAGCAGCTAAGTCTCAAAGTAATGGCTTCTGTTTAAATCAGAATCCTTTTAGTAATCAGAAATTGCAAGACAAATAATTACAGTGTCAAAAGATTTAAAAAATTTTGTTTACAAGTGACACTAGATTTCCTCTATTCCACATTTTCCTTCAATTCTTTCACATTCCCTTAAGGCATGTTATGCTTAGCACCTTTAAAATACTGATTTACCAATCCTTTAACATACTTTAACATCCTTTAAAAGATCTGTGTATAAAATTAGTGTTTCATACCTTTAAAATATTGAAAAATAATCATCAACTCACTTTTGAGATCATAGGATCATAATAAATGCTAATATCACTTCCTTGTTGTATGCCACTGTCAACACGTACCTTCAAAAAAAAAATCAGAGGTAAAAATAATTATATATTGGAAAAAAAAGTATTTTAACACAAGGATCAAATCTACCTGACAGGCTTAAAACATAACATCCACAAAGCTTATTGCATACATTTTTTTCATCTTGAAAAACTAGAAGAATTATTTGTTACCAGAGAAGATGGGTGGAGGGAAAGGGAGCTTTTTCCTCCACTAGGAAAAATACTTGCAAGTTATTTTCTCTTTTTGTTGAGAGTCAAAATTCTCTTTTGTTCTCCTAGAAAGCACAGTAAAGACATTAAATTTGATCTAACAATTGAGGTTGTATTACACACTCTAAACTTCAACTCTGAACATACCCAATTCTGATATAATTCCTGTAATAAAATACAGTTGTAATTATTTTTCTGACTGACAGCTGGCATGAAGGATGCCCCTTATAATCACATCCTTTCTGCATCTATATGTAATCATGTTCCCCATGTTCCACTACAGTCCTTCCAAGGGCTCCAGGAGGAATACAAGTAGGGAGCTTTCAGCAGGAACTTTGGAGCTCTGCTTATCAGCTCCATAGGAATACTGATCCTGTGGTTTTCATGTCTGTAACACTTTCCTTCTCAGCCTCACCCTCTCAACTGTAAAACATTTTTTTTCTGTTGCTGCTGCTCCTCTGAGGCTTTAATGTTTACACAGCTTTTTCCATGGCTTTGCTTTGTAAGGACACAGCCCCAATTAAAGCTCTGATTCTGCAATATTCATGGAAAAAAATAACACAAGTTCAAAAATTTCTTTTGAAGAGGCTGATTGCTGTTAACCAGCCAGCAAGTTAGTTAGTATATTGCTGATTCTTGTTTTCATCTCTCAGTTTGATTTCATCACTGTAGCAATGAGGTTAGCCATATAAAACTTTTCAAATGAGCAATTTCTGGGGAATAAATATTTATTAAATTGCTGCTTTTGAGCACTGGAATCTGAAATATTTTTTAAAAACTAAACAAAATAACTTGAGTGTGATAAACGCATTCTGGGGATCATAAAGATGGAGGGCTCTAATCAAAGCTGTTGAAGCAGCAGGGCTCCAATAAACTGCATTGTAAAGGGGGTAGGAAAGAGGGTCCTGGAATCTCACTTAAATCTTCACCTGTGGGAAGGAACCTTTGTAATAAACAGCAGCTCATCTGTCTGCAGCAAGGCAGAAAAAGGTCAACGCAACGGCTGTTAGGCCTTTAATATTTTAATTTAGGCAATTATCAAGGGACCACATGTAGAACCTCTTGTCTACAGAATCCACATGAGGGCATGATGATGACTTTATTATCCAAATGACATAAAAAGATACCCTAGCAGGTATATTCACTTTCTTCAGCAAGGAAGATGGTCTAACTAGTTTTTATGATGTTATATTCTTTTTATTTTTTAAAAATGTACTTACTCATATGTAAGTATAAATATGTAAATACAAATATATTTATATATTATTTCTTATATGTTTATTTGTATAGCATATTTGTTCATATGTAAAGGCAGTAGCACTTCTGTGGCGTTTTTATCACATGTTACCCCTATGTGCTTTATCTATGCTTAACTAGGCCCCCCCCACTACCCATATCAGGTACATTTAACATTAGCTGCCAATGAGAAGGTAGTTCAGATATGTCATGGTTAGAGAAAAAAACGTGCAGCATATTTCCCACCTCCCCTTCTTGTAAGTGCTAAACCATCCTTCCTCCCGGGATGTCTACCTGTGCATAAAGTCAATGCACACATTCCCACATTCAAATCAGAAAGAATTAATTTACCTACTCAGTCCCAGATAAATCCCTTGCCCATGACATTTTTTTGTAATACCCAGTACATACATATATAAGACATGATGGTATGACATACATACTCTGCACATACTTGAATTATACTGTGACTTTTGTCTCTAAAGTAGCACCTATAAAGTGATTACATGCAAGAGAGCAAGGGTACTTTATATATGTGCATGTATTTATACATGTATACCATATTTTGAAATATGAGTATGAAAGGCGCATATTTCAGTCCCACAGTAAGCAGGTTAGTCAGACCTCAAAGTTAATGTAAGGCATCTGAGGCTACTGACTACATGCTCTGCCTGCTCTATGTTTCTAGTTTCATACATACCACCATATCATTTACACTTTTCCCCCCAAGTACAATATCAGAAAAAAAGAAAAAGTTATAGTGAGAATTTGAAATTCTTTAAAAACTACTACATAATTCCTTTTTTAAAAAAATCTGGAGTCCTCTGTAGAAGCTTAATTTTCATAAAATAAACTGGAGATGACCAAAGAAATGACAGTAGAAAAGAAATACATTTACCATCTTCAATTCTTCCTGTGGTGCTTACATTTTTCGGAGCCTGGTAACAGTAGGTGATTTTATAAACTATATGGTGTGACAGAACTTAATGAATATCGGATGAAAAAGAAACCCTAATTCAACAGATACTCACTACAATGTGCTTAACTTGATAAATAGAAGCAATGCTTACTGGACCTCCAGCATTTACTTCTGCTTAACATACTGCTTTTCTTTTACACCATATTTTAAAAAAAAAAACAAGAAAGGCTAGTGTTTAAGAGCCTACTGTACTCAACACTTCTATTACTGTTGTACTACCACTATGTGTTATTACACTAGAACAGTAAACTGAAAGACAAAAAAGGCTTAAGAGGGAAAAAAAGCACAATCTATGTCCCGGTCCTGCAATGAACTATTAGTGCATCAAATTCAACTTACCAACACATAGAGGTTCTAATATTTCTCAATTCTTTGCCATATCAAAGTCTAAGAGTTTTCTCTTTCTGGTAAGAGACATTAAAAGACCAGACTGCTGATCATACTGGCAAAGAGCAATGCTGAAGCCCTTCAGATATGGCAGTGCATTTGCTATCTTGTGTAAGACCATTAAACATAAATGGTCACTATCATAACACGGGGTTTTGTGGTTACCTATCTTGAGCTTCATTATCAAAGATGAAAAAAATTTGGTACGAGTACCACGTTCTAAGGAAATTACAGATTACATGATACAAAAATAGCCAGTGTATTCCTACCTATGGCTAAGAAAAACATCCTCACACAGCCATGCACACCAGTTTCATCAGCGTGAGCAGCTGACACACAGGCACAGGTAGACAATCAGAGCTAACTTGAGACACAGAAGAAATTAATTGAAAATGCATTTGGCAATTTGGCACTACTCATAAGCCAAACTCTGCAACACGTTACAAGCCTCTGCTAATTTTTTTTTAAGCCAATGTGCTGGCAATTCTAAAATCTAAAATGCAGAAAACAAACACTGTGGCACAATGGGCCTGTAATGCTGAACTTTTTTAGTCATATTAATTTTGTTCTTAGTGGCATGACATTCTCAGGAGATAAATTAGTTTCACAGTGGCAGAAAATATGTATTAAGACACCAAACCATGAATGCCTACATAAAAATAGCTGTTCCATTTTTAATATGACAATGGAAGTAAACAGAAAGAGAACAGCCTAGAGACTCCATATGAGCTCCTCAAACCATTGCTCTGAAGCCTCCAGCGTAATTAAAATTTCTTTCTTTGGTACTACAATGGACCACGTGAAGCAATCAGGCATCTCCCACCCTTCATTTTCAATTCACCTCTCCCCCTAAGCACAACTCCCAGCCCACCCCGTCTACCTGACAAGTGACAGCCCAATCTGATTAAATGCTTGCAAGGGAGGGGACTCATGGGCCTCCATGACAGGCCAAAAGTGATCACCATGGAGATACATAATTACAGCTGTCAACGCGTCTACTGTCCTGCTGGCATCAATTTGATTGCTCCCAGCAATAATGATAGACAAAGCTTAGTGTGCACTCTCCTGCACCCAATCACTTTATCTATTCCGTGGTCCATTTAGCTGACATGCAACATTCACACAAGCAAATAACAGCAGTAAGCAGAACATTTAAGGCATTTTAATTGTTTTTTCTTTGTATGGATGGCTCACAAGCGCAAATGTTATTACATAAAACTCCTGCTGCAGCATTAATTGAAGAAAGATTTGGTGGGACAAAGACTGTAGGGGGTATAGTTTGTCCATTATCACTTGTACTTTCAACAGGTCTCACGTTTGGAAAATTGCAAATTGCAAAAACTTGCAAGGGCAAAATGTTTGACATCCTGTTAGCTATTACAACATGGTGAAAACTTCTAACAACCACTGGAGTATTCATTATAAATTCTTATTAAATACACTCTGTTTCGTTAAAAAAAAAGTTTAGATACATCCTATGATACCTTTTTCCCTCATCTCCTCTTTAAGATCACATAATGCCTTTTAGATCTTCACTTTTTTTTTCTGCTTTCAGGCTTTGAACACAGCATGAAGCCTTAAAGACCAGAAAGGGTCAGGTCCCTTCGGAAAGTACACGGGCAAAAACAATTTAAGAAGCAAAATAAATCATATATCCAATAACATCTCCACATTTAAGATTCCTCCTGTAATCTTTCACTATTTTCCGTGCAAGCAATCAGACTGAATAATCGTATTCACAGATGGTACAGCCTCATCACTCCACTAACTGACAGTGTCATGTATATGTGCACTTATGATTCCAACTACCTTCATTTTACAGAAAGGCTGTGTCCTTGTTCTTTACATGCAGCAGAAAACACTGTTTGTTACAGCCTTTCCATATATTTAGAATGTATCCTGACACGTGTAATAATTGCTGTAACAAACTTCCTCTTCAAAGTCTACAAAGCTAAACATAAAGCACTGACAGTTTCTCACTGGTGTGCCCAGTTCTCTGTGCTTAAAGAGCTGACTAAACATTTCACTGTCCTTTCTAACGACCACAGTACTTTTACTAAAGTTGTGTTTGAAAAACTTAAGCTGAAAGTTATAGAATGTAAGAAAATACTTCAGTATATAATGGTTTCCTGTTATACCCAATTTGAATGTTTTAAACCCAGTTTGGAACTGTATGTTTTTAAGCAGTTTTTCAGGTTGCACAAATAAGTACTGCCATGTCCTGTGTCGTGTCGTGTGTGTGTCCCGTCATTGTCATGTCGTATTCCCCCCCCCAGCACAAATCTGGAAAAAAGGCCCCATTTACAAAGTTGCTGTATACTTATAGTGTCTGTCTATAGAAGAGACACTCAGCACCTATGAAAACCAGGATGAAGTTACTTACACTTGGCACGTGCAATGGTTCCTGATATTGAGACAGTTTACCAATGGATGGCAGGCCAAAAGATTTGTAGGGGTCCTGAAATAAAATTCAACATGAGAAAGCATTAAGCTTTTACAGATGAGAATATTAGAAAGCTTGAAGTCTAACAGAAACCACTGCCAGAATAACTGCTTTCTTCCCCAGAATTACTTGTGTTGAAGTACATTTCTTCATCCAACCTACCCCTGCAACTCCAAATAAAGAACTGGAAACATATACATTCCCTTGCATCACAGTCAAAAAGCAGGAAAGAAGTGACAAAGATGACATTTTCATTTGCTACACTGTGCCTCAGAAGGGTGGAGTTGAGAAAAGAGTACAAGGAAAAAAAATTGCAGAGATAAAAAGGGCAGTTAGAAATTTGATTATATTAAGAAATCAAACTGACCTTTAGTTTTTGGAAACCTACATAATGCAATAACAATATAAAACTGAATAGAACAGCAAATAAATATATGGCCTACAGAATAACCAAAACCATGAAGAAGTAGTTAGATCCATTACTTTTAAGTATGAGTGAAACTAAGTTGAACAGAAAAAAAAAAATAAAAATCATCAGTTACTCCAGGGTAACTCATACTCAGAATAGCTTACATGTCTCACAGGGCAAGTATTTATCCTTTATCAAAATAGTTCATATAACTTGTAATCAGTAGAACAAGATGAATATTATGTGCATGTCACGAAGAGATAGAGAAAAGACAACATAAAGTAAAATGCCCTGGGTCACAAAAGCTGCAATAAATTGAGGGAAAAAATACCTCAAGGCATTGAATTATTTTTTAAAAGCAGTTACCTAAAACATTCCTAAAACAAAATGAAGGAAACTGGGCATCATTTTTTAATTAATAAATCTTGGTTTTCATGCATCAAAAATGACAGCAAAAGACATTACCTTGACATGTCCTAAACATGCTTGTATATGAGTTTTGTATTTTAGTAAGCTTTTCTAATGTGAGGTAGAGCATCATATCATAAAGTTACTGTCTTGGAATACACTGAAAGTTTGTCTATAAACTATAGTTTCAGAAGACATGTAACTTGCTTTTTCAACAACCTATTAAAATGTTTTAGTACAACAACAAAAAGTCTGTAGGCCGTTGAATTTCAGCTGTCTCCTTAAGTCAACAAGTTTCAAGTACACAAGTTAAGAAACCTGGAAACACTAGTTAACTGTAGCAAATAACTCCACCACTGCATCATTAAATGTTTCCTTAGAAATAAACCTTAGTTATCTCTTTCACCATTTTCAATTTTGATTTTTGGAAAAAAGTTATGTTGAAATACTTACTGTATTTTAAATTTAAAAATAAAATTCTAAAATTCTATAAAAGCTCATTAACCACTTGTGTTTCATACTCTAAATCATGAGTTTCACATCATATTCCTTGACTTCACCTCGGCATCTATCCACACCTGGGTACTATTACTCCACAATTCAACCACCTACCCTCCTCCCCATTACCACTCATTTACCTCAGCATAGACTCGACATTCAACCGCCCAGCCATTGATGGGAATATCAGCCTGTTTGTGCCTGAGAGGGTAACCCTTAGCAACACGGATCATTTCTTGGACTAAGTCCAGGCCAGTAATGCATTCTGTGACGGGATGTTCAACCTGCAAGGTCAAGAACTGTCAGTCAGTAGGTAACAGAAACAACAACAACAACAACAACATCCCTCTCCATAAACAAACACAGATGAACAAGAAATTAGATCAGTCAAAGAATAGACAAAGAACATGTTCCTTCCTGATCTTTTTCTCAAAAAAATTTCTACTTGACAGACTCCAGCAATCACCTTCTTTGCAAGGAAATCCCCAAACCAAAATAATTAGCAGACTGCAATAACTAGGAGCAGCATACAAAAGGAGAACTATAGAGAACACCTAAGAGTGTTTGAGGTTTTGTGGGGTGGAGTTTTTCCCCACGTATTTCACAAATTGAAATGCACCTGGTGACAATGAGTTACTTTTTCTTTGTTCAGAAGCTTTTCCCATTCCATTCTGCTTTGAAGAAACTCATGCCATATCCATAAATATATTTTAACAGAAAAAAAAGTAGCTGATACTCAACCTATTCTGCTACACTTAACATGGCACATACGGGAGGCGCTTACAATTTTCCATAGAACTAGCCTACCCTAAATCTCACCCGTTCGCCTGCTTTCACTAACCTGTCCTGACAAGCAACCAGATTAGCGTAATCTTGCATCAGTGCAGTGTAGCAGAAATGAGCAGATGGATCCTTCAATTTTTTTTCCCCCTCCAGACTTAGCTGTTTAGTGCTTAGCATGCACAATAGCTGGGCTGGACCAGCAGTCACTCTGCGCTCTCAGCAAATTGCTGCTAACGGCTTCGGATGATGCTGCCATGGGAATACCCGTCGTTCACACTAACCCCGGCATGTGCGTACAAGCATGCACACATGTGCGCGCATATGCACATACACACACACGTTCTTTCTTTGAAATGGGGATATAAATGGACACACTTAGTAACTTTAAAAAATCTTCAGCTAGACATAGTATAGTAAGAAAGCACCTGAAGACAGGAGGGCACAACGTATAGATGAAGTAAAAGATAGGCATGCTAAAAACATGTTCTTCACACAAGGACAGCTATAAGACTTTCCATATATAGAAATTATGACAGAACTGCCATTTTTATTCTAAAATGTTTGTGTTCCAAGGGCAAAAATACCTCAAGAAAAAGCACTTACAATGTTTTCCCTATCATGAGATGTCATACCACGTACATTGTGACAAATGAAAAGGTCAGTGACCAAACTACATGTTTTTCTTACTTCAAGTACACTAGTATTAAGAAAAACATTTAGTCATTATTACAATGTTGTGGCTTATCAGAAAAAGAAGATGCTTCGGTCTTTAAGAAAAAAGCTTTGTAAAAATAAACAGATGGCGTCCATAATTAGCCCTGTGTGTGCTGTGAGTTTGTTTAGAGTTTCAACAACATTTTAAGACATTTTGACATAATTTTAATGACAAATCATCACTGAAACAAGCACCTATTCTTTGAAGGATAAAAGTGACATTGAAATGGGAATCTGATTACACAGTTTAAGGATATACCTTTGAGATTCAATCTTGATTCTACCTAACACATGATATTCTCCAGCATGTCAAGCTTAATAACAGTATTTGGAGAATCTCAGTGTCTATCCTGCAGTGTTAAATTGAAGCAATTCAATTTCTATTAAGACCTGAAGTTTCTATTAAAACTTCCTAAGTTTTAATAGAAAGTTACTTATCTTACATTCATATTTGAACAACAGAACTTACTCTCTTGTTTTGGAATTTAAATTTTAAAAAATGATCTTTGACTTCAGAACACACTTGGAATTCTAACATTCCAGATAAAAAAAATACAAATTTTTTTTTTTATTTTTTTTTTTTTTTTTACAAAGACGTGCATTATTTAGTTATACTGTCATTTTTCTTGGATAGCTATTGGCATTCCAGATTGAATAGCTTCATTGTTGTTTTCAGCTTTATTGTTGATGATCAAAATAGGATGGAATGTTTCTGGAAAGAAAAATATTTTTGTTGTTCGGTTCTTACGACTCACAAACATTTATTTAATCCATTCTTCAATACAGATCTTTGACTTGGTCAATATTTTCTTCTGTTTCTTCAAAATACTCCCTTTGTGCCTGCACACAAAACAGCATTCAGAAAATATGACAAGGAAATTTTTTTCAGTTTTTGGGGGGTTGAGAAGTTGTTCTGCTTTCTTTTAGGTCTGTGCTTCAACTAGTGCTGTTTATGCATAATGTTGACAGTGCCAATCATATCGCTAATTTTGGGGTACCAAATACATTTAAAATGCATTTTAGTATACATGAAGACAATTAGATGACCGAAATGGGGTAGAAAAAAAATTTTAACCTTGAAATCCAGCAGACTTATTTGTAAGTTTTACCATTCTTCGTGAGGCACTCAGCTCAAAGTGTACTTGTTTAAGCATCTGTAGTTTTCTTTTGGCAGGGGAGGGTCAGTATATTTTTAGCATTATATGGGATATCCTTGAGCATACAGTACACTAAAAAAGCAGTAATGCCATGTCCTGGCTCAACAAGGACGCTGAAAGGAGGTTTTGGGGGTGCAAGAATCCACCTACAGAGACACATGCAAGATTTGAAATTAAAGCTCTAAACTTCCACAAAGCAAGAAAGGACAGGGGTAGGAGAAGTGACGAAATTAGAGCCCTCTTCTCCCTCCCCTCTCAAAAAAGAAAACAGGCATCATCATTCCCTACTTATGAAAACTCTACAATAACTGTTACAGATATCTGAAGTAGGGTAATTGTTGTATCTATTTTAAAATCACTATTAAAAGCTAGGCTTTAAATGCTTTCCCCTTTTACTTTCCAGCCTCCTACTTCATGTCACACTTGTTTTGCCTGCGTGTTGTATTTTCTTCTATTAATTTTATGCTATAGCCCATCTTCATCAACAGCCTCTACTTGCTATTTTATGGTCACTAAGTCAAGTACTAAATTTTTAAAGAGATTAATGCAAGTATGCTCACAAACAGAGCTGAATCACACCCAATTGATTTAGCTTTGGGCCATACTCAATTTTGTAGTGAGCTGATCCAAGATCTTGCCAGTGAAACTCCAGTCAATAAGGTAAGAGCCAATGGTGGTATGGTCATATCATAGTGGGTAAATTCACACATTACCTCTATCCTTAACACAAAGGGCAAAACCAGACATGTCTGCAGGAAGCAATCTACAGATCATAGCTGTATCAAGGCAGCTGTAAGCTACTCTAACAAGACAAGCAGAAAAATTGATCAGCAATAACTCTCAATTAGCTAGCTGCCAAAAATCTCACCTTTATTACTGGTTCCTTTACTTACACCAAGCCTGGTCATAAACAATTTATAACAAGTCATCATTTCAGTGCGCTTAAGTACGATACATACCTCTTTTAAAAAGTCTTACTCCCCATGTTCTAGAATCCACACACACTTTTTTCTCTGAAAAATGCCACTGATAGTCCTGCTTTCAAGTCCATATAGTCCACCTGTTGTGGCCTATTAATACAGGGTAAAGGGAAAGTGCTTCCCCTTCACACTGGATCCGCTCTTCTTCAGATATCTCACAGCAAGCAGATTCCCTGTGAGTATTACGTTTTTGATTCCCTAAGCTTCTTCCAGTTTATACATCAAGAAACAGCAATGGCAAAGCCTGTAAGAAAGTAATAACTGTCCCAGTTTATAGATGGTGAAGCAGGTACAAAAGAGCTAGAGGAACCTGCCAGCATCGCAGTCTAGTTAGCATCTGTCCCCAGAGCAGTACAGAAAGGCTGATAATTTCCCTCCTGTCCTGTGACTGTCAACAATCTTAGAGCTTTACCACACTGGAGTTCATCCACAGCTACAAAAACAGTTGTGTGGTTTTTATGAAGAGTTGAGGCTAAACTAGCATTGACTGCTCCCCTTATATTCAGGGGAATAATTTCAGAACACATTTTTCTCAAGGCCATCAAGGTACTCAGATCTAATAGCAAACACTTCTGGATACTCTCACAGATTGCTCTCTTGCCCCTGTGTGCATAAGGCATCAAGTTACTCACACACCACTTAGAGCATTCAGGCAGACCACAGCAGCCAAGAAAATCTAAATTTCAGTAGACTTAAAACTACAGACTATGTCACCCCTACTACTGTAAGTCCCTAGTTGGTGTCACATACTCCTTTACATTCAGATAAATAATCTCAAAACTAACTTTCAACATACACCTCAGTTTCCAGGAAACATGATTCACCTGGAGTCCCACAGGCTTTTTCTGCTGCAGCCAAATCCAGTATCAGTTGACTCAAACCCACCAACTTACAGATGCTCCTCAATCCTCTTTATTTCAGCAAGCCTGGTTTCTATTTCGGAGCACTGAACAGCAACCGCGGTGCACACATGTTCTGCTCTTCAGGCATGCCAGCTTCCTGACTACTATAAGCAGGAGCACTCTGGGGTCACATCATCTTTCTGCAAAATAGTTCACATGTACATCGGGTTTGGGAGCAGAAAGGCTGCTGGAAAACAATGTTTGGGTATATGTACAGAATGAATGGAAAGCACACAGGAACACATAATAGGCAATCTCCTATGTTGTCCTTCTCTGTAGACATATAATAACATGCTGTTTATTTTCTGATTTATTAATATGTGATTGAAGAACTAAGTGCAACGAGAACTACAAAAATTTCCATCAACTAAGATTCTCAGGTAGACTTCTTGTATTGTTTCCTAAGGAAGATGTTGCAGAAATAAAAATCTAATGCACAGACATTTGGTGCCAACTGATTTTTTAATCATAGCATAGAATGATTTTGAAAAAATATTTAATCTACTTTCTCACAGAAAGTTATCTTTAATAATAATTGATTCAGTTCTCTCAATTTTTCTTTGCAAGGATTTGTTTCATTATTGTACTAGACAGACATGAGTAATAAATCACTTGTGTAGCCTATGAATACTGAATCTGTCTTTTCTGTGTCTTAAACACAGCACACAGTTTATATTAACAAGTTATTTAGCTCACAATTTCAACATAACTTTCTCAATTAGCATTCTATACTTCAAAAAAAAAATTTACAATTCAGTAATTCTACACAATTTCCTTTCCACTATCCTCCACGTGAGAGAATAAACTTGCACCCACAAAAACTACACTTGCTTTTCTAAAGATGCAATTCCTGCTTTCACTATATTCGGCAACACTATTAAAGTCTGCTCAGAGTACTTTGTTCAAGGTGGCTCTGGTCACACTGCAGCCATTCTTGGGTTTTCTTTACATCAAATTCACCAAAGGAAAGAAACTAATGTACCCTTATGAAGAATGATCTTTTATTTCTCTACTTACTAAAAATGGAGAGGAGCCTCCTTTCTCTCTACTTTTTTAATAGTATTCTATGATAGTTATGTGGTAATGATGTCTCTAAGATATCACTCCATGCCCTGGCAGCACTGTTAATGGCATCTTTCAGATTCAATGACTTACACAAACAATGTCGTTCTCTTCTGTCAACAACAATTAGCAATGCTTTTCTGTAGTTCTTTTGGGAAGCCTGAAAAGCAGACAACCAGTAGCTACATAATGGAAGTTGCATTAGGAGGCAAGAATGTGGCAAAAATCTGGTTAACTGTTGTCGGCTGACCCTCTTGTGTGAAGAAGTGTTGTTTGGCAGCAAAATCACCTTTTCTTTCGGTTCTAAAAATGGCCATGAACAGCTGGTATAAACTGTGTGCAGAATGGATTCTGGTGGGCTTAGGGGATTGGTAATGGGATAAGAGACCTTTCACCTTTAGGTCAGTAGTTCAAATTCAGCCCAGGTTAGCAGCAATTGAAAGTCTTTACCATCTGACACTGTTCGTTAGCCTATTTAAAATGACTGAAGCAAAGTGTCACAGTAAAACAAGATTCGAGTATTAAGAAATATGAAGTCTCAGTAAACAGCAGAAACGGTCGCTTGAGACTTTACTTTGAAATCCCACCATTCAGACTCTGTAGACATCTACTCCACTAACTCCTGACAGCCCCTTTCAGTTCTCCCATACTCCTGCCCACCTATCACAATTCATCCTCCAGGCAGCTACACACACCAGGACAACAAAACCACCTCTTGCCATCCCATGGGCCTGCTACAGATACCAAAGTCACAACCTCTCCCGTGGTTTAGGGTTTAGGCTGGCAATCCAGACTCAGCTCATCACTTTGCTATTTATATTTTGTTGTTACTTTGTATGTAGTGCAGCTGAAATGTTTTGCAGCATTTCCCTCCATCACTGAGCAAACACATAGCAGGTGCTGCCTAATGATGTGCAACAGAATACAGATACCATTAAGAGACTGTTAGAAGCAGGAGTTTATAAGCAGTAGAGCTCCAGACAACCAACAGGATTTCAACATACTTCTAGACATCTCTTAACCATGCTTTTTATACCTTTGTGAGTGGACAAACAGGTGATAAGGGACATAGAAAGAGACATGTTGTATATAAAAATTCTACCTCTGCCTTTTACACCAGGGACAGCCCGTTCTGTACAAATACAAAGCTCTGGAACATAACATTTCCCAGAGGTCAGTAAAAATCTGATGAAAACACTAAAGTGATGAACAAAGATCTTAACAGTGGGAAATATTTTATGGGTGTATGGAAGTTTATTTACATTTGCTTTATGCCTTTGAATCAAGTTACTCTAAACGAGCTTGAAAATATTTACATAAAATACTCTCACTACCAATTAACTGTAAAATAAAAACAGATATACCCTTTGCTTTCAACAAATCTCTTAAAAACACATCAGAGTATTCTACAAAATTATCTTTTATTCCCTACGAAGTTATGACAAAAATAGTCAAAACTGTCACATGAGGAGAACACACACTGGTATTCAAATTACCATATTTCTCAAATACACCGTGCTGAACATAGTCCATACAAATGATCTTTTCAATCAGATTACTCTAAGCAAATTTGGTCATGTTTTGAGGAGGAAAGGAGTGCTCACTTGTTATTTAAATCACAGAGTGCATAAGGGAGGCAGAAGCTTAGGAGCAGACCTGAGACACAGACGTACAACTGTATTCAGGTTAAGTACTCTCTTCACCTGCTGCTTGTACTTTTCTCAGTTCTCAAGCCAACGAGAGATGCTTCTTGTTTCAAGGTACTAGAAACTGCTAGATTATGTGATATTTTCCCTTTGCTGTCACCGACTGATTCACATGTAAGAAGCTTAGCCACACCACACCACTGTACATTAACCGATATTCTTTATTTACAGACTATAGACTCTATTCATATAGTCAAAGAGGACCATTTCTAGTCCTCCAGTGAAAAGTAGAAGAGACTTTCCTAGTGAAAGCCAGCATTTCTTGTGGTAATGTGGTAAGGACATTTTTGACGCAATTTGGAAGTTAAAAAGGCTATCAGTCTAAGAGGTCAGAAACTTTTTATATTTTTAAAGCTCTTGTTTGCCTGGTTTGGACTATGACTGACTTTGATTAGGCTGATGACAACTCAGTAACACAAAGCACCGTGCAGGGTGAGAAGCTATAAAGAATCAGATATTCAACATCTGGTCTGCCTCAACAATCTTAACAGTGGTAGTTGCCTGAAAACCACTCCAGAAGTGCCCTGAATGACAATGTACAGAAGTTCTCTTGTAGCTGCTAGGGTAGGTATTTCTAAGTTTTCTTGTGAAAAGCAAGAATAACTAGTTTTGCTATGCAATCATGCAATCTCCCGTCTCATACTTATCAGCTAGCCTCTGAAAAATGGCAGAGCAGCAAATACTACAAAAAGTACATTGCCAACAGCAAAGAATAAATCATTATAGCTGAATCACTTGGAGGGAGTGAAACATCTGTAACAGATTTGTGTAGCATACAAGAGACACAATGGAGCTGATTCACCAACTTTTTTCACTTTCCAACCTCGTATTGCAGCAACACTTAACACAAAAATTAAATAAAATATAAACTTCCTGTAAGGTGCTTCTCACACTTTTGAGCAGAAATATACAGCAGGAAAAGTATATTCCCAAAGAGTTCCCCAAAAAGGCAGCCAAATAATAATATAACTCTCAATTACTGCAAAATAATTTACAAAAAACACTGGAAGACATCTGGCAGATACACCAAAGGGAGAGAGGGAAGAAATCATCAGGCAGTGCAAAGTATTGGGCAGAGTTTAATTAGCTTTATGCAAGGATATTCTGAAGTCTGTATCTAAAGTAAAAAGGCCACAGTGATCTGATTAGAGATTGCTGAAATGTTAAAACAGACAGAGGAAATTGCATAATTTAGTAGAAACGTTCTGAGAGATAGCTGTGTCTATAATGCACACTGACAAAGACCTTAGGAGCATCATTTATGGATGACATGTCCATCATTTAGGAGAGTTCTTCCAACTGTTGAGTGTTCAGCAAAAACAAGGCAAGTGAGCCTGTTAGCCACTGTTCACTGCTGGGAGACGCAAAAGGAAAAGGTTGAAGCAATACAGGGACATCTGGAGACTCTCCTGGTTCTGAAGTTAAATCTGGACAAGCTTCATTAGAGTTTCTATGTTTGGCTCTTAATAGAAGGGAGCAAGAACAAGATGTTAGTTGCATAACTGTTAGTTGAACAGAAAGTAAAGCTTGAGACCTGGGAGAAGTGACAAATCAATCAAGTAAGCCTGGGGAAGAATCAGAGAAAATTACTACTCTCCAGCCTCAAACTGAAATGTTAATTAGAGACAATACACAGGCAGGATAGAGGAATTAGAGAATATCTACACAAGTACTGTAATTTAAGATTAGTAAACTTCTTTAAGAGTTGGAAAGAATGAGTCTGCTATTATAGGGGATTGTCAAACTGCTTAGGCTATATTTCAAAAGGAGTCTTTAAAGTCCTTAAAGATGGACTTGTGAAAGCTTTCTTACTGCATATGTGGAGACGTCTACAATTAAGCAAGTTTGGGGTTTGGGACTTTGAACACTTACCACTATGCATTGCAGGGGGAAGACACCACAACACAGCAAAGATAACATCTTAAAAATAAATCGCAAAAAGAATCAAATCCAGGAATATTCCATAACTAATTCCATTTAGGAATTTATGGAAAATAATATACCACAGCAAGGAAATGGTTTTGAACTTCTGTTATGCAGAAGTGTTCTGTTATGCAGAAAACCACGAATTAATTTTCTTCTATGTAAACAAGAACATGGAAAGTCACTAAAAAAATATTCTCTCAAAAACTGCAAGATTGGAAAAAGTGTAATGAATATGACCAAAGAAACTGAAATTCTTCATAATTTTTTAATGAACTATACATTACCATTAACCACCACCCTCTCTAACTGAATCTAAGGTAGACCAGACTGTGCCTAGCAAACTCCTACCAAAAGTGTGTGAAGCATAACTGTCATGACTAATTCCAAAAACACTGCTGCCCTGCAAGGCAAGGCAAATTCCCCCTTTGTACCCCAAATCCTCTCTCACTTCTTTACCCTAAGCATAAATTTACCCAGCCATTATACAAAGTCATGCAAAGATGTCAGAATTACGAGGACCTCTCTACGCTCTATCACTGCCCACATGTACAAGCTGCAGGCAGGACACAACCCTAACGAAATGTAGTGAAAACAGTATAAGAACCTAATCACTCTGTTATTTAACAAAGTGAGAAAAGGAGGACAAAACCAATGGAATTTACTTTATTACAAATTGAATTTTGTTCCCATCTTCAAGAATGATATCCAGACTTCAAGCTATATGACTGTTTCCTTAATTATTACCAGAAATGCATTATAACAGTCAAATATGAGGTAGATGTGGTTTTCCATAAAAGTTTGTCCATTCATTTGCAGTGTATATTATAACATCTACTACTGACCATGAGATGTTCCAAAAATCCTGCACCATGTCAGCATGCTTTTTGCACAGTTGCATTCCAGTCACAATTTCAATCCTATGCAGATTGCTAGAGTTTTTTATTGCTGATATACACATATAGTTTTAATCACCCTTCTAGAGAAACTCAGCAAGCAATCAAAGTATAAAATAATAAAGAAGAAATTTCAGGGACCAGTAGGGAAAAGCATCAGAGCACAGTGGCTAGACACTTACTGTGAACTCACAGTGGCACTTAACAGTGACCTCTTGCAAGGTCTTTAGGTCAAGTGTAACAAAGAGCAAAAGCTCTGAACGCTTGCTTGAGTGCTGTGCAAGGGCTCACTACTGCAAAGTCTTGTATATGCAGGCTTATTTAAGTGAGTAGATCTTTTAAGTTCAGTAGGAAGTGCTCACATGCGTCAAGTTATTTATGTGCAAGTCTTTGCAGGAGCAGACCCCTAAGTATGGAAGGAGGTTATGTTCTGTTTTTTTAAATAACACTTTTCTGAATCTGTAGAGCTGTTTTTCTTACCTGAAGTCTAGTATTCATTTCCAAGAAGTAGAAATTCTTACTGGAGTCCACAAGGAATTCTACTGTTCCAGCAGAGGAATACTTTACTGCTTTGGCAAGAGCTACTGCTTGTTCTCCCATTGCTCTTCGAGTTTCAGGGTCTAGAAAAGTGCTACAATACAGAAACAATGCCCTTCTTTAGTTAAAAAAACAGTAATAATTAAATAATTTCATCTTCTGCTTAAACTACTACCAAAAGAGGACAGCATAATTATTTAAGTTATGAAAACATGTCAAGACTGTCAAATGTATGCCTTTACATTTAGATTGCTCCTAAACAGATATACTGCATGCTTTGCAATTACTGCTAATACATAGGAAATTCAGGATAGATAACAGTATTCTCTAAAATATAACAGAACACAACTCTTTTAGAACACTGAGATCTATAATAGCGTAAGTTAAAAATAAATATATACAAATTCATGATACTTTAGAAGGTGTGTTTATTTACAGAAAAAAAAATGTAACTAAAAAATCCATCCAATGGAAACAAGAATGACAAAATACAAGTCAAGAGGTCTAAGGGGAATTTGTTTTCTGACTGAATTAAAACAGCATGGCTGTTTCATTGATATTCTGTACAATAAATAAGTTTTGGAGTTTCATCAAATATTTATCTGGGCTTCTTATGTAAGATTACAATGAAGAAAATCTGGGCATTCATAATATTTAACTAGAACACCATCAACAGTATCATGACTTAAGCCTTCATATCCTGTATTTCCTCTCTCAGCTTTACTTCTAAATTGAAGACTAGTTATCCGTGTTTGTTAACTGCAATTCATTCTTTTCCACAAATCCTGGACTCACTTCAGGGCACCAGAAGAGCATCTCAGCTACCATCTTGGAAGCCACTGTGAACATAGCCCAAATGCCAAGCCTTCTCATTCTAGGAGAGCAACATGCCAGTTCCACTGGTCCAGTGAATTAAAAGATTTGGGAATGTACATATTCTGCTTGCTATTCCCCTCTCTACTGTAAATTCAGATTTAGATTAACCTATGCAGATTGTTAACTTAGAGGTAGAGAAACTTCCATCAAAGCTGTGAAACTGGTTGCCCCTCACCCTGATATACTGACCTTCTGTGAAAGGCAACATGTAGCTGTTTCATCTTATATAAGCTTACAAATATGCTTATTATATTTCTGCAGTGACTTACATTAGTTACATAACTCAGCTATCATTTTAAAAGTACTAAAAGGGAAGAGGAAGTCATTTCTACCTTACCTCTAAGTTACTGTTTAAAACAAAAATACCAAATGTTACATATTTCTTGAGATGTCCCTCAAAAGAGAGTCAGAATTCTGTAAAGGAGCAATCAGAAGCCTCCATGTATCTGAAGCGGCCCCATCAAAGTCAGTGAAGCTCCACCTGGGGCCCAGGACTGCACTCAGACAGAAGCCAGTGCCCAGTCAGGACTTAACTTTCAGGACTTACTATGGGAGTTTTTCACTGAGACCTGAACTCACAGAAGAGTTAGAGACTTCTGCCACAACAAACGATATTTGACACAACACAAAATGTGAGGAAATATCTAGGAAAACCAGGAGACAATGGAAACCTTTTCTTTACGACAAAAGTGCTATTTAATACCTCCGTCCTTTCTGTGCCTACATGGGCAGATTCTGATGGAAGGGAGGGCAGGCATTTTCAGAATTTAGGGAAAAATTTCTTTCTTGGCAAACAACAGGATCAACAGGAAAAGGAAGTCTGATCCCAAGAAAGCTATCAGATCCTATACCAGATCAAAGGAAAAAACAAAACAAAACAAAAAAAAACACAACCACCAAACCAGAAGATGTGCAAAACTGTGTCAAACCTATCAAAATAGGCACCTCATAATATTTCTTATTTTGATTCAATAAGAGGATAATACAGTACACAAAATCAACCATCTATAATTCAATTTGGGGTTTTTGGACAGCTTCGATCATGAAAGGTCAATGAGTAGCTTACGAAGAACAGAACCTTTTCAGTATCAGCTTCATACTCTATTGCTAGAATAATGATCTCATATGGATAAAAGACAGTTACTCCCCTTTATTACAGTGATGTCTTACCTATATTTGTTAAATGTAGGTCTGAGATCTCTCTGTTCACCTCCTGCTGTAGCCAAAGAATGGAACAGAGGTGTCACACTGCTAAACTTGATCTCTGCTGCGTGGTTAAGCTTTATGCTCTAAAATGACTGGATCATCCCTGCAATCACGTAGGTTAATTAACCAAAGTTTTCTTATTTCCCTCTGCCACTTTACCTTTCGTATACATTGTTTCTCCCCTCTTTAACAATGCACCTCTTACAACTGAAATAACTCTTCTCCAATCTAATTGGGCATCACTCAAAAACATGGCATTTTCAATCTGACTTCAAATCTTTTTCTCACACATATATCTGTTATTCTTTCGACTAAATAGCTCCTATGGCAGCATTGAAGGCTGAAAAGTAAAAAGGATTCACAAGATAAAAGCACTAGAAAGAAAAAATAAGATCAGACCTGACATATTTCACTGATAAGACCTTCTTCAAGCTGTTGTAAAGTTGATCAAAGACAATACAATTGGTTTGTGTCATTGTTTCTACAGCCAGAGAGATGAACCACATGGGCAAGATGTTACCTCTCCACTTCTAGTTCATCCAATAATGTTTCCCAAAATATCTCCACCACCTTCACTCACAGATAAGGTTGAGATTTTGAAAAGTACAGACAGTTACACCATCAGTGGAAATTTACTGCTCAGCTTAGACCAAAAAAACCCCAAACCATCCATAACATTTACCCTTCCTCTGAAGATATCACAACTCTGGGAGGGTCACCTTTCCTGCTCTTAGAAAATAGTTAGGCATACTGTTTGTTTAAAAAAATTACTTACCTACAAAAACCATTCTCCTTTAAGATACCTATTATGTACTATACTACCATACCATGGGCATAAATATACTAAAGAGTTTGAGAACACAGTTTTGCCCCCACATCTAAACTGTGCCCACCTATGAATCCTGTACATAGCCACAAGAACAGGCTCACTGTTTCTCTTAACTCCAACCCTTCAAGGATTTACAGACAAAGTGATAGGAAATGTACAATCTGATATATATACATGCACAACTCTAAGGAGAACTTGTGCATAGACAGTAGTTCAATAATACACCTTTCTGCTAAATTCTTGCCTACATACATTTATTCAAATTGTCGCTGGCTTCAAGTAGCACCTTGGCAGTTAATCTGGAATATGATGCTGAAGTACTTGGCATCATACTGAGATCTTTCAGAGAAAGCTGTGTTCTTGGAGAAAGTGAAAGAAGTTGCTGTCTGTGCACCTTCCAAGGATAGAAGCATTCCTGAGAAAAACTAACAATGGAGCATGCAAAAAAAGTCACAAAAATAGTTTAACTGTTTCACTTGCATTCTAATGCAGTTACTTACTGGTAAACTAGCCTCCCTTTTAAATCTCCTGCCTCTTAGATCTTTGTCACAGGCAGAAATAGAAAGAAATATTTTTGTCCTTTGAACTGAAAGAACATCTCTCAATTTAAAAAGACACCACAAAACTAACATCTAGCATAGATAAGGCAATCTCAACTCTGAATGTATGCAGTTAGGAAAAAAAAAGCATAATAAATTATTTCCTGCATGACATGGAACTCAGGAAAATTTTGGGAAATTGCTGACAGACTGTCCTAAGAATCACCTTATTCTTAAAGTCTGAGGTCCTAAGGTTTAATCCAAAGTATATGGAATCACCGTTGAAAATTAGAGACAATAAAGGAGAATAAGCAGGCAGCTAGCAAGTTCTAAGGACTCACTCACTGTATATGCTAATACAGATCCTGCATGCCAGTACAGAATACAGTAGCAGGGCACTGGTTCCATCATTACTTGTCCAGGAAAGGTCTGAAAACATAGAAAGAAGGTTTAACACCCAGTGTTCTGAAGCTCAGCATTTTGAGATATGATAGAGACCACACCTCGAATACCGTGTTCAGTTTTGGACCCCTTACAAGAAAGATACTGAGGTGCTGGAGCACGCCCAAAGAGCAACAAAGCTCATGAAGAGTCTAGAGAACAAGTCTTACGAGGAGCAGCTAAGGGAATGGGGGTTGTTTAGTCTGGAGAAAAGGAGGCTGAAGGGAGACCTTATCACTCTCTACAGCTACCTGAAAGGAGGCTGTAGCAAGGTGAGTGCCAGTCTCTTCTCCCAAGTAACAAGTGATAGGATGAGAGGAAATGGCCTCAAGTTGTACCAGGAGAGGTCTAGACTGGATATTAGTAAAAATTCTTCACCAAAAGGGTTGTCAAACTCTAGAACAGGCTGCCCAGGGGAGTGGTTGAGTCACCATTCCCGGAGGTATTTAAAAGACATGTAGATGTGGCACTTAGGGACATGGTTTAATGGTGAACTTGGCAGTGTTAGGTTTACAGTTGGACTCAGTGGTCTTCTTCAACCTAAATTATTCTGTGATTCTAAACGGTATTCCATGGAGAATCAAATGTTTGATCTCTTTGACTGCTACAGCAAAGGATGATCATGGTGAGTGGAAGGGCCTTTGTGTGGCACTTCTCCATGACAACATTCCAAAATCTTAACTTTGAGCATCAAATAGTACAAATAGCCAAGTGCCTCCAAACAGCTGGACATTCCTTCACCCAAGTGGTGAGGCAAAAGTTAAAGTGCTTTAAAAAACTTCCAACACATTCTGAAATGATTAGATAGGACATCTGCTCACACTCAAGTGAAGTTTAAGAGCAGACTTTTCAGCTCCAGTTATTGAACAGGAAGTCAAGTAAGACACTTGTATATTTACTTTCTATTGATCCATTTACTTTAGATTGATCCTAAAGGATCAATGGATGTTCTGATAAGCTTATGAGCCTTATTTCTCCACAAGAAAGAACACCTTATTAATCACTCTAGAAGACAGGAAAATACAACCATACTATCACATTTTTGCTTGCCAAAGTACACTGTCCCATAGCAACTGTCTGAAAATTACTAAAGAGTTTGGGCACCAAGGGAACAAAAACTGAACTAAGGAACAACAGACTATTAAATGATACCCATCCATTTAAATTTCAGCCTCTGTGGTGAAATGAGAAGTCAACAGCATATTCCAAAAAGGTGTGAATCTAGAAGCAAAGAAAATTACTACAAATCACTAGGAGTTTTGTGTAGCACCAACTTTGTCCAAAACTAGCAATGATCAGATGTGTCTTATTTGTTTGTGCTTCCCCGAACAGAGTAGGACAGCTGACTACACGTTAAAAGGGTATAAGCAATGTCCGTTGGTCTCCTATTTGAAACTGGGGGATTGACCACTGTGAACACACACCAGGGCTTCCTTGAATACTGTAACCTCATCAGGGTGTAAATTTAAGTTTTCTCTCCTCAAGAAAGAGGCTTGGTTTGGTTTTTGTTGGTTTGTTTGTTGTTTTGGGTTGGTTTTTTTTACAAGAGACTGAACTTCCCTAGGAAAACTCAACATTCAAACACATAATGATCCCATACGGGTAAGTTCAACAGCTGCAGGCTTAACTTTCAGAAAATCATAAAGATTATTCTCACAGCCAAAAGGCCTTCAACAATCAGTCTCTTAAACTAGATATTTAGAAAAACATCATCATAAGAAAAAAGTAAATCAAAAGAGGCTTGAGAAGAGGTCAGAGTCAAAAGCCCTAAACTGTACAAAAGACAAATAAACATTTTAGCCCAAAGCATCCCTATCTCCTGGGCTTCATGGTGGGGCGGGGGAAAAAAAAAAAAAAAAAAAAAAAAAAAAAAGTTCAACTTATCTCAGAGCTCTTAAAGGCAGCTACTATTTAAAAGAGGAGGAAAAAAAGGACTACTTAGGACTTCTTATTTCCTCACCCAGCCATACAAGAAAAGGTGTTTCCAGGAGTCATTAATCAGTGAGACTAACTGAAACAGCATTCACGAGGACTAACTTCAGGCTTTAGGGTCTCTACAGTGTCTCACAGAAATTAGTGCCCTGCTTATCTGCACCAGTCTTGTAATCCTCTGTAAATAAATACATTCTGCAACAAACTGCAAGTGGCTGTAAGGCAGATAAGATAAGGTTTCCAAAGCTGTCAGTAAAGTCTGGAGAGCGTAAAACATTCAACAACAAGAAGGAAGAAGAGTTTTCACACCAAGTTTTGAAAGCTGTTGACTTGCCCAGACTCTTTTGTAGAGTTATAGGAAAGGATGAGAAAAATTACTGGCAACTCCAACATAGAAGCCCAAGAAAGTTAAAAGGCTGTTATTTCTGATGAAAGAAAACACTCTGATTACAGTTGGCTGGTGAGAGAAAGACATATCATTTCCTTTAATTGACTACAGGCATGGAGAATGATCAGACAGATGAGGCAGGCAGCACCTTACAGGTACTCCTGAGCCAGAAGACTCTCCTAAGTGCTTAGGCAGACATATATCCACACTCACATTTTATCAGGACCTGAAGCCTTCACATTTCACAAACAAAAACATAGTAAGATCTTTAGGCATAAGGCTTCTAAGAAATCTGCAAGCACTACAGGAAGCAACACAGGTATTTAAGCATTTACTAGTGGATGTGTATCCTTAGATTTAAACTTTATTTTTAAATTTAAAATCTAGGTTGTAAACAGTGCCAGTCCCACAATTATGATCCAACATTAAATTATATGCTGCCTATAAATAAACATCACTTGAATTATGTGCTTCTTCCTCACATCCTAAACTGTTGCATCACATAGGTCTGTGCTACAAAATAATGGCAAACCCATCCCAGCTGGTGAACACATTACACTGGGAATTCCCATGGCTAGTGATATACCTCTGTTTGATTTGCTGAATCCAGAACTTTTTAATGTCCTTTTTTCTACATATTTTCTCCAATAAATGCAATGCAACAGAAAACAGTAAGACCATACCTTACACAGCAGCAATGTATTTCAGCTCCACTTGAAATCAGTGGAATTAAGATCATTTAGTACCTTTGAGTTACTGGACACCTACATCTACAGTTCACTACCATGAATGGTACTAGAAGTGACACAGAGTATTTAGTACTTCATGTGCTATTTTAAATAGAAGTAAACAGTATTATCTGGCCTTCTCACAATTACTATAACATAGTCAAATATCTGTATCTCTAGTAAAATGAATACTTATTCCATACTTTATTTTGTTCTTAACTCCAAAAGCTGCATGGCAAAGAAAAGGAAAAATAAATCTCAGATACATTAAGAAAGCCATCTCATATACCACATATATTTGATTGGTAAAAATCTATATCAATTTTATACAAAATCATGAAAAAAATGAAACGGCACAGCACCTGTTTTCTTCTTACAGAAAGACATCATGAAGCAAAATCAGAACATCCCCAAGTACAACATCAAAATTGCATTATAGTTAAATGACTATAACTTAAACATTTTTTGTAGGTTTTAACAGAATAAAATTTGCATGCGCTTGTACAGTAAATAAAACCAGCATTTTTTCCAAAAGTTCTTTCAATAACTGAAGCTGCATCAAGAGTCTAGTATACATACCTTGGTGCTTCCTCCACAACTTTTTGGTTTCTCCTTTGAATGGAGCATTCTCTTTCATTCAACCACAAGGCATTACCATGTTTATCTGCCAAAACCTGAAACAATAACATGCTGCCATTAACAAACAGATGTACGTATATGGCCTTTACACATTATACTAGTATGTATCATTGAGTTAGTTTAATTTAAAAATAATTTCTTTCTAATCTAGAAATAAAGGTTGGAAAAAATGCTAGTGTAGAAAATTAATTGTATATGAAATACTAATTGAATGCTCCTTCAAATTCTGAACAGGATTATTTTTAAAGACTCTATAGAGAGTCTACACATGGCAAAAATCCACTCATTCCAAAATTTGTGAGAAACCCCCAAAAGTTCAGAAATCAAAAGACTGAAATAAGATTAAAACTATGGTTTCAGGCATTTAAAATTGTATTGCATAATTAAATTACTCACAAGCATATCGTTAAGCAGTATCTTGTGTCAATGCAGAAGAGAAACGTCTCAAAAGATGCCAAAACTTTGCTCCTGAATTACACACCATAGTTTTCAGAGACAATGCTTAACAGAGCTTTCTCAGTGGGTGAACCACAGCACTCTCTCTTTAATGACGAAGTCTTCAGAAACTTTGCAATCTTTTATGAAGAATAAAATTTGCTATGTTCTCACTACTTTCAATGGAAATTAACAGTCAATCATGTAAATCCAACTACCTAAATTACATACTGGAAAGAAACCAAGTCCAGTGTAAGAGAACTCTCAACTGATTCTGCAACTTCAAACTGGAAGGAAAAGTAAGACAAGGAATTATGAAATCAACTGTACAGTGAAACCATTTCCAATAGCAGGCTAGTAGATTTGAAGATTCAAGCAGACGTCTTCCAATCTTGTATTGTTATATTCTACATTTATTCTTGGAACAATTTCTTTCATTGCAGACCACATCTGCTCCCTTTCTTCCTTATAAAATTTTCCCTCTAATCCATTTTTTTCCATCTTCCTGCACTGATCTGCAGGAACCTGTGCCAATATTCATGCTTCATTCTTTAATAGTGCAGTTTTACAATGAAAACAGACAAGATAAAAAAAGGAGACAATCTTCCTCAAACTGCGTGAACTCAACCATATCTACTCACATTTGTGACAACGAATCTGTATTATTTATTATTCCTTTTAGCACTACAGAGAGAGTATGGCACTAAGCAAGATGAATTCTTGCATCAATGACACCAATGTTTGCTGATGCGTGAATAATCTGAGTAGATGTGACTGAAAACGAGGCACGGATCTCATGAAGACAACTCGTGTGCACTGTGCAGCACGAGACCCAGAGTGCTCAGCACCCTATAGGATCAGATTACCTTTTCCCCAGAAATTCTGTTGCACTCCCATAAATTTATGGTGCTTTCTAGGGGAAAAATCCACTCCAAAGAGTTCTACAAGATTGATGACTATGGGAGTTCCTAAGCTACAGCTTGTCCCAGAACGTTCTTCTCTGCCCACGAGGAGGTTTAGCAGCAGCAGCACACAGGTACTTCAGCCAACTGCTAGATTCTGTAACAGGCAGCTCAGTACAAAGCCAAAAAAAAACCCAGAAGCATCTAAAGCAACTTCTATCTGAGTCCTAACTCATCCAATCCAGGACTAAACATCACAGAGCTCTACAGAAACTCATTTGGGAGGACAAAATATATTTAGGGGGTTTTTTTTAATCTTAAAACAGTACCTCTAGGGCACAGCACGGTACTTGATGGAAAAATCACCCTCTTGTAAGTAGAATGATTCCTTGTGAGCACTTCTGTTTCACTGTTAGAAAGCCTACAACCTTCCACAGAATTTAGCCTCACCAAAATAAACAAACCAAAAAGTCCTGGGATATTTCAATAAAAATGAGTTCCTGTGCTTCTCTCTCCTCTCTCACTGTATTTTCCTGAAGGGGATAATAAAATATTTTTCAAGCCAACTAGGAAATATTTTCTTTCACTTCAGGACATTTCTTGTATCCTACTTAATTTCTGCAACCTGAATATTTTTTCATTATCAGTTAATATGGCTTGAAGAGACACGCATGAATATTTACCATGAAAACATAATTATAAACTGAATAAGCCAAACAACATCTAGTGTTAGGTTTTTACATTCGAGTCCAAAGTTTTCATTAACAGAAACTAAAGAAGATACTTACTTCATAAAACAATTATATTTCAGAAGACATTTACAGAATATTGAAATCATCATCTCTGAAATGATGTGAGATTCCAATACACATCTCACTAAAAATGCATGTCACAGCTACAGCTTTTTTCTAAATATCTAAATATTCCTCAAAGAAAATGTCCTGTTTTTTGGGATTAGATGATTGTGACATTAGTATGTGCTATATACATCTAGATTCCAAAATAATGAATGTATTGCAACCTCTCTCACATGATTCAGCTAAATTCTACTTCCAGCTGTAAAACTGCTATTTAGCCAAGCAATAGTTAGACATTCCATGTACTCTTACTTTAGACTCAGATCCTTTATATAAGACATTTCAGGAGAACAAGGCTTCAAATCAGTTCAAGCATAAAGTCTATTTGGACTCTAT